TTAACATTGGAGAGGGTTCAGAGAAGAGCCACAAGAATGATTAAAGAATTAGAAAACATGATTTATGGTGATAGACTCAAGGAGCTTCATCTGATTAGCTGAATAAAGAGAAGGCTAAGGTGTGACTTGACTATAGTGTGTAAGTACCTACATAAGGAACACACATTTAATCTAGCAGAGAAAGGTATAACATTATCTAAGGGCTAGAAGTTGAAGCTAGACAAATTCAGACTGGAAATAAGGTATGAATTTTTAAGTGTTCATAATTAGCCATTGGAATAATTTACCAAGTGTCATGGTAGATTCTCCATCACAGGCAATTTAATCTAGATTGGATGTTTTTGTAAAAGATATTCTCTAGTAATTATTTTGGGGTAGTTCTATGGCTTGTGTTATACAGGAGGTCAGACTAGATGATCACAGTAGTCACTACTGGCCTTGCAATCTATGAAACTTTATTATAGAACCTAACCTTGTCTTAACACCAACAAGTATCACTTCCTCCATTTTACGGATGTGGGGCGTAACTGAGAAGTTGTGCAAGGTCATGCCTGACTGAGCTGGGAGTAGAACTCAGGGGTCATATTCTGTTAGGTCTCACAGGAAGCACAATAGAGAAGGTTTAACTCCCATGAGGGCAAATGTTGCCTTAAGCTACCTATGTTTCTTCAAGAACCTGGGCTGCATTGGGGGTTGGTGTGGCCCTTGCTGTAAATTAGTTCAGCCCTGAAGGAGGCTTTCACTTATGGTGACATTGCTCATTTTTCCTATCCCTGGCATGCCACTACAAGAAGGCCTGAGACTAGGGACAGCCTAGGGCTGCTGTGCTGGCCCTGCTCTGAGGGAGTTTCCCTAAGGGTACACTGTTTCCTTTATGGCCCTCTTATGCCTCTTCAGCAACGTAAATGGACTTTAGCAGGGGCCAGAATCAGTCCCCAACTCTATATTGTAGCCCCAAGTCTCCTCCACTCTTTCCAAAAGTGCTACAACCATGTGCTTGGCTGTACTTACTGTAACCACAAGGTCCATGGGCTTCATTAAGGTTAAAATCCCAGTGATGAACTTCCTGAGGACATAAGAACATAAGAATGGCCGTACTGGGTCAGACCAAAGGTCCATCTAGCCCAGTATCCTGTCTACTGACAGTGGCCAATGCCAGGTGCCCCAGAGGGAGTGAACCTAACAGGTAATGATCAAGTGATCTCTCTCCTGCCATCCATCTCCACCCTCTGACAAACAGAGGCTAGGGACACCATTCCTTACCCATCCTGGCTAATAGCCATTAATGGACTTAACCTCCATGAATTTATCCAGTTCTCTTTTAAATGCTCTTATAGTCCTAGTCTTCTCAGTCTCCTCAGGACAAACTCAGTCATCCACTGTTAGGCTCACAGTCCCTTCCTGGACAGTAAAAATACTCCTTGGTCTTTAACACTGTTCAAGACCATGAGTATATTAATCAAATTTTCCTGTTTTTTAAAAAAATGTTGTATTGGTAATTATTTTGACCCAGCAGGTTGGGGAAGTAGAGGCTTTTGCAGAGAATGGAATAATTGGTTTTCAGTCAGAATAAGATGATTCAAAGGAGTATCACATCCTTTCTTCCTAAATTTCTTTCATTTCATTTCATGTCAGGCAGGACATATTTCTTTGCCACAGGAAAGAAATTTTTGGGAAAAAGGAACTCTGGAGATCCATATTTAAGGATGTTGACAAAACAAAAAAATTATGTATATCAGAAAAAATTTTTGTTAGAAGACACTAAAATGAGACCTGAAAGGCATCTCAAATCACCTTAGTCTTCTCTGACGGTGTAAGTAAATACATATCTAAGACCTGGTCTACACTGCTGCTTAAGTTGATGTAAGTTACATCGCTCAGGAAACCCGCCTCAGTGACACAGCTTACATCAACTGAACTCGCTTCTACCTCTCGGAGAGCTGGACTACTGACATTGATGGGAGAGGACTCTGCCATCAACTTATCATGTCTTCACAAGACCCGCTAAATCAACGCCACTGCATCCCTAAATCGGCGCTGCTGAGATTTAGCACGCCAGTGTAGACAAGCCCTAAGAAGCCTATGCATCTTTGAGGCTTCTTCCTGTCTAGCTGCCATGAGGCCACTTTGTATTAAAGATAAGGTTTCTCCATCAAAAGAAGGGAGCCTCTACAACAATTACACAAGGCAGTTATCCATTTCTGTGTCTTTTGCAAACACTCAAGATTCATTTGAGATTCAGATGATGGATCTTTTGGGAACACCAAGAACTAGTGCTAGTGCAGACCCTGCTAGTAGAGAGAGGCTCTTTTTAAAAATTTAGCAACAAAAATCCTTTCTTGTTAGTGGTCTCCTACCTGGAATAAAAAGGGTTGGCTTAAAATTCTCACATTTAAAATTTACGAAGTTGGTGTCATTTTTCCTTTCTGCTTATATTTCAAGATTTAATATTTTAAATGAAATGGAAAATACTAACTGTAGGTATAGCAGCAGGAAAAAGGACACTAACAATTTCTGACTCTGATTCTGTTCCGCCTGTCTTTGCAATTTTTGAAAAGAGGAACAAACCATTGTTTCCAGATTGACCTGATGAGAGACAGAAAAAACAGTTGATAGATGAGAATTCTTAACTTTAGCAGAAGATTCAGAGAGATTTACATGTCTTGAAATAGTAATTGTAAGCATTTGGATAAATAAACTATATGGATGTCCTGTTTTACGATAACGTATGTAAAACAATAACTTATTGTGCAGAGATGTGATTTTTTTTTTTTAAATTGCAGACCCATTGGCTCTTGCCACCTCCTTTTTGTCTTCAAGTGACATCAACTTAAAAATGACACTAAAGTCTGAAAAAAATCATCTACCCTTGCTACCAAGAACCTATAGTAATATTACTAAAATTGAAAGATGAGCGCTTATTTCAGTTTGTGCATTTGACAGCTTTTGTGTTGAGCTATTTTCATGGTTTCCCCCAAGCATTTTATATATAAATAAAATTAATTCCTGATTTTATTGTTTTTATTATTTCTATTCTGGAAGCACCTAAAGTGTCCAATCGTGTTTGTAGCCCATTGTGTTAGGCACTGCTAATCATAGAATAGAAGACAGTTCCAGACAAGTTGACAAAATTTTGGATTAGCTCCAAAATATCTTTGTAAAATCTGATATTCTGTACTCTGTAAGTAGATCATTCTGTTTCTTGATTAAGGTCTAATATCTGGGCTTTCCAGGTGACTTGCTTTTCCTTTTTGAATACCCTGAATAATCTCCTCCTCTTCTTTTGTTACTGTTTCTTTCATATAGCCTTATCAATATTTTTCCTTCATATTTGTTCAAATATAGATAAATACTTCATATATTACACAATTAGTCTTTCTATGGATACTTAGAAAGGAGATCTATGTTCACGTGTTCGTAAAGTTTGTTTAATCTGGTTTAATTGTTCTTATCTATTTGAACTGATTATTTTCTACACATCCTTATCATATATTTTGTTCATTGATCTTCTGTTGAAATTGTTCTTTTGCCTCCTGCAGTTGAAACTTTCAGGGTTCTAATCCATTGCATTTATAGTCAGAATAGCTTTCTAACTTTATCCCTCTTCCAAGTCTAATGTTTTCCCTCCCTTGCTACCTACTACTGGAGAGGGTGCGGGAGGTTTGCTTTTTGTTTCCAATTCTTCAAAGTCACAGCATTCCTGATGCCCAGTCAATACTACTCCTTAGCTTACAAAAAGGGGTCAGTTGAGAGTGACAAGAACTGCTTCTTTTACCAGGACTGCTTCTTGCAGTGCTTCTAAATCCTGCTGGTCCAGGAGTTTCATATACTTTTTGGTATCTCATTATAGTGCCAGCCACCATTTGTTTTCTAAAATAAATTCATTTTTGTCTTAAAAGTAACATGAGTCCAGGCGGGGCCATCCTCCTCTCCAGCACTCCTTTGGACCCACAAATGGGCAGGGGAGACTCTGGGGACACTAGGACTCAGGTGGGGCCTTCCTTGCCTCCCACGTGGCCTGGGGGTGGGGTGAACGGGGACTACATAGAAGAGCCAGCCAGAGACTCCTGCTGGTAGGGGCAGAAGCAGCGAAAGCAGGGTCCTTTGTTCCTTTGGACATGCTACAGTTTTGACCAGACTTTCTCTGTCATGTGCTGATTGGCTGTTTTCTTCAACTCTCCCCCTCAGTCTCTTCACCTCAGCTTCACACCATACCTATCCTCTTCTTCTCCCATGTCCTGTCTTTCTCACTCCACCTTTTCTTCCCTTTTTCTTTCCGTTGAGCTTATCCCCTCCTAATCAACCTACTCCTCAACCTCCCCACCCCCCGATTATGGAACTAAAACATTTGTTGTCGGCACATTGTTCATTCTGCTTGTGTATTCTACCCCTTTTCTCTCCTTTCTACCTTGTCTATTTAGATTATAAGCTCTTCAGGGCAGGGATTGTCTACTACTCTTCGTTTACACAGTGTGGCCCTGTATTTAGTTGGTCCTTGAGCGCTATCATAATGAACATTCATTTATAAAAAGCAACAGAGGGTCCTGTGGCACCTTTAAGACTAACAGAAGTATTGGAGCATAAGCTTTCGTGGGTGAATGCCCACTTGCGTCTGATGAAGTGGGCATTCACCCACGAAAGCTTATGCTCCAGTACTTCTGTTAGTCTTAAAGGTGCCACAGGACCCTCTGTTGCTTTTTACAGATTCAGACTAACAGCTACCCCTCTGATACTTGACATTCATTTATAACCATAATAAAAAATAATTATTAGTGTGAAATTGAAAGCAGTCAAAGCTTTCTCCCAATTAAGGATTTTAGATGTAGTAAGGAAATATATTAGCTTGTAAGGGAGCGAGGGTTTTGTACCATAATTATTTTGAATGCAATATTTGAGTTGCCAAAAATAGAGAACACTTTGCTGTTTTTAGAAATAAGTAAAAAATAATTGGCATTTCCTATTATGTTTCAACTTTAGAAACTGTGGTTATTTTTTTACAGAGAGAAGATGATGAAGAAATGCAAGCCCTAAAGGAGAAGTTAAAGTACTGGCAAAGGCTGCGCCATGATCTTGAGAGAGCACGTTTGTTGATTGAACTTATACGTAAACGTGAAAAATTGAAAAGAGAACAGGTAAATGGATAACTTCAATTTGGTGAAACTTTGTTGAAGGAAAAGGAAAGTTGCTGATGGATTATTTCTTTTTACAGGAAAAAGACTCTACTGTCTTTGTTTCATTGATTTTAAATAATAAACAACAAAACCATGCGTAGTATAAAGAATTTAGATTGAATTCAGGCCATTATGTTTGGGTTTTAAAGGCAGTCCATTACTAAGTAAAGAAAAATAGCACCTTTCTATGCATCAGATCTGAAGTAGGGTGTGTATGTTGCATTTATTCACTTTTGTGTCAAAAATAACTGGTATTTTTAATTCCTGTTAATCCTGTAAAGACAACACAGAGGGGAAAGAAGCACAGTGGGAGTGAGGGCCAGTCGTTTACACTTGTATTAACATAATGAAGGCTGTGGCTTTGCTCTAGTGTAAAGGAGTGCGTAATTTGGGCTGCAGAATCTTCATACTGGTGGCGGTAGGTGAGAAGGAAAGAACTCAGCATGACTCTCAGAGCCAAAATTGAGTTTGCAGTGCTGGCACTTACAAAAACCACAACTTAGTTGTAAATGGGGCACAGGAGCGCTGGAATCACTCTCGTATTAAACATGAAACCCCAGGATGACATTTTTCCAAAATTACTTTTCAGAATGTAATTGCACTTTCATTATGAGTTAATATAGTCCACCGGTTATAGTCTTGACTACATACTGAAGTTTAATGCCTTAATATATTAAAAGGTAACAAAGTCCTATAAATCCACTTGTCAGTCAATTGATAACTAAAAGGAAATCTTTCATATCGAAAGTATCACTGATACTGAACTCAAGATTATTCAACAAATTGTTGCCTTTATGTGGAATACTACAAGCACGTTCTTAAAATATCCTGAAACCACTTTTTATAGAGGATTATGTTAAACTTTCTTTACAGTTATTAAAACAATATATGATTATCCCTATAGGAGGATCAAACCTTTGAAAAAAGCAACAGAGAGTCCTGTGGCACCTTTAAGACTAACAGATGTATTGGAGCATAAGCTTTCGTGGGTGAATACCCACTTCGTCAGACGCATGTGGATATTCCGCCCTGAAAGCTTATGCTCCAATACATCTGTTAGTCTTAAAGGTGCCATAGGACTCTGTTGCTTTTTACAGATCCGGACTAACACGGCTGCCCCTCTGATACTTCAAACCTTTGAAGTAATTAGTGATTTTGACCTTTATAAACAGCTTTTATTTTTTCCGTTAAGTTTAAGTAGAACATTCCTTAGGTGTAGAATTATGTAATATTTTTACTTTTGAATATCAGTGCTATAAACTCATTTGATACAGCTTGTATTTGGCACCATGTTTGAGTTCGTACTGGTTTAAAAAAATGTATTTTTCTTTTGATTGGTTGCTCTTATTTTTTTGTATATTTGGTCTTGTCCTGTAAAGCCGCTTTTTTTGTAGTCTGTTTTCTTTAGAACTGTTAAATAGTTCTTGAAAAATTACTAAATTTAATCTACACTAGCATTATAACCATTCTCTGAATAAGAGCGCATTCAGATAACTAATAAAATCCCTCTTTGGAAGTGAAGCTGCAATTTCACTTGAATTAGACACTTTTGAAGAGAGAGAGAAGAAAAATAATTTATATTCACTTCTTCTACTTGAAAATAACTTACTATTTGGTGTTTTTTATATTTCATTATTCAGATCAAGGTTGAGCAGGTCGCCATGGAGCTCCAGTTGACTCCATTCACTGTATTGTTGCGATCAGTTCTGGACCAGCTGCAGGAAAAGGATTCTGCTCGAATATTTACTCAGCCAGTAAACCTTAAGGAGGTGCCTTTCCAATTAATCTTTTCATCATAGTTCATAGCATGTTGATATAGCTGAATTTAATTTTTTTTTTATTCAGTTGTACTGCAGGATTGGAAATAATTTGAAGTAAATTTATTTTACAATATGCAATGAGAATTTATGGCTTGGTTTTCCTGTTCTTAAAATAAATGATTCTGTAGTATTTGAACATAGACATATATTATAGGAGAACATTTAAAACTCATTTTGCAGTCTAAAGTTTAATTTGTTTAAACATTGATGTAAACATGTCGTGGTTGGTGAAGGAAGTTGGAAAGATGTCTTCATTTTTATTTCTGTTTTTTAAAATAATCCTAAAACTACATCTTAAATTATTCTGGAAATGGAAGTTCAAAATTTCCCAAAGAAAAACCAAGTTCATATACCATACTTGCATACAATAAAAATATTTAATCCCTCCACAATCACAAAAATACACTGTTTTATATACATTAATAATGTTTCTTAAGTTTCATTGTCAGTCACTTTTAGAAGTCCCCTAACTGGTCCGAACAGGCTACCAATATATAAATAAACATGTGGCAGTAAGAGTACTAAGGCCATGATCCTACATAGATTTATGCCCATGCTAATCTTTACTTTGTGTAGTCTCATGATGTGAAAAGTTAAGCATGTGTATAAAACTTTACTGGATCAGGGCCTTAGATTAGAAACTGGATTCCCTGCTTTCTTTATTTAACAAAATATACTTAAAATTTCAAAAATCTAGATTAGTTCATCACAATATCATTATTTTATTGTTATACCAGCTGCACTTTTACACATCTTTGTTTTAATATTTATTTGTAGGTTCCAGATTATTTGGATCATATAAAACATCCCATGGATTTATCTACTATGAGAAAACGGTTAGATTCCCAAGGCTATAAAAACCTTAATGAGTTTGAAGAAGATTTTAATCTTATTATAGATAACTGTATGAAATACAATGCAAAGGATACAATATTCTATAGAGCTGCCGTGCGATTAAGAGATCAAGGAGGTGTTGTTCTGAGACAAGCTAGGCGAGATGCTGAGGGGATCGGTTATAATAATGAAACTGGAATGCATTTACCTGAACAGCCTAAACTAGAATCACCCCAGCCTTTCTCCTGGGAAGAAGGTAAGAAACATTTGAAATTACTGTAGTGATCAATTGTCAAGAAATATAATCAAAGTGTTAGCTGCATTTTTAACATTTAGTTTTTAAAATAATTTTTAAAAATGGCACTTTTTTTTACTGCAGTCAGACTATGTAGTTCTTACACATGTTCAAGTCATACCTGTTTAGTTTACTGACAGAAACATTCTTTTTTACTATTTTTTGTAGCAGTGTAGATACATCATACCTTTGAAAGATTAAACTGTATTCTCTGTTCTGCCCCATCCATAATCAAGAAAAAGATTTTCAAGTGAATTCTGATTCCAGAACATTTAGGCCCAAATTTAACAAGGTTCTTAAGCATGTGCTTAACTTCAATGCATAAGTCCTCCCATTGAAATATACAAGTTACTTATGTATGTGCATATTTGAGTAGTTCAGTGGGACTGTTTACATGCTTAAATGTAAGTAAACATTTATGAACTTTGCTGAATCAGAGGTATTTTTGTGTAGTAGTGGTGTTGGATGAAACAGGATGCAAACAAACTCGATATTCAGGTTGCGCTTGTAATACGAGCAATCTCAAAAAGTCTTATTTTGACTTATACACTGAGAAAATAGTAAATGTAAGTCGATGAAAAGAGAAGAAATAATTATAGTGATTTTATTCCTCAAAGCAGGGGAGGGATTAATAATTAGTAGAACTATGGGTCAGGCGTCACTATACATCCCTTAGAATCAAAGAATTATAGAATATCAGGGTTGGAAGGGACCTCAGGAGGTCATCTAGTCCAACCCTCTGCTCAAAGCAAGACCAATTCTCAACTAAATCATCCCAGCCAGGGCTTTATCAACCCTGACCTTAAAAACCTCTAAGGAAGGAGATTCCACCACCTCCCTAGGTAACCCATTCCAGTGCTTCACCACCCTCCT